GAAATATAGAAAAAAAAACACCTTTTCTTTTTCTAGAAACATTAGCTTTCTCAAACTTAGCAAAGGCTAAGCAAGAGTGGGAGGCCATGAGTTCAAGCCCCACTACTGTGTAAAAAACACACACACACACACAAAGCTTTAAACTTCCTTCCAAGTAATGAATTAGCATATAAAAAAAAAAACCTGACCTGAAACAGAAGGAAAGCAAGCAATCTTGATGAAAGAAACTATGATGGGGGCTGGGAAGGTGGCTCAGTGGTAGAGTGCTTGCCTTGCATGCCTGAGGCCCTGGGTTCGATTCCTCAGCACCACATAAGCAAAAAGAAAAAAGCCGGAAGTGGCGCTGTGGCTCAAGTGGTAGAGCGCTAGCCTTGAGCTGAAGAGCTGAGGGACAGCACCCAGGCCCAGAGTTCAGGCCCCACGACCGGACCCGAAAAAAAAATTTAAAAAAAAAAAAAAAAAAGACTCGGGGCTGGGCATAGGTGGCTCACACCTGTAATCCTAGCTATTCAGGAGGCTGAGATCTGAGGATCATGGTTCAAAGCCAGCCTGGGCAGGAAAGTTCATGAGACTCTTATCTCCAATAAACCACCAGAAAACCGGAAGTGGCGCTGTGGCTCAAGTGGTAGAGCGCTAACCTTGAGCTGAAGAGCTGAGGGACAGCACCCAGGCCCAGAGTTCAGGCCCCACGACCGGACCCGAAAAAAAACTATGATGAAAAAAAAATGTTTCTTTAATACTTAGTATTTGTTTCTTTTTTTTTTTTCTTTTTTTCTTTTTCTTTCACAGCTTGAACTCAGGGCCTGGCTGTCATCTCTGAGCTTTTTAGCTCAAGGGTAATGCTTTTCTACTTGAGGAACAGCTTCTTGCTGATTAACTGAAGTCTCATAGACTTTTCTGCTGGGGCTGACTTGGACAATCTTCAGATCTTAACCCTCCAGGATAGCTAGGATTGAAAGTGTGAGCCACTAGCACCAGACTCATACATTTCTATACTACCAAGTATTGTGCATATAAAAGATGTTCAATAATGTTTACATAATAACATTAAATTAGAACATGCAAACATTACATTAGCTGTTTTATTTTTTACTTTAAAAACTATATTTACTAATCTCCTTAAAAACATAATTTCTTTGTTGGAGTATAAATGGGAAAAGAGAAATAGAACATATTTAGGGAAAAAATGATCAGATTGTTCATGGCCAGTTAAAGCTACTGCTATTTTATGTTGTCTGTTCATTTTCTAAATATAATCAATCATTTGTGAAAAGTAACTTAAAGTAAATTTACATATACTATTTTATTATTACCAAACATTTTATAAGACTTGGCAGCTCAATTGCCCGAAAGAAGAAATTTACCTAATATTATCTTCACTTTGAAATTAGAGGAAGCTCTAGTTTGCAGTTGGAAAATGAATTTAAAAAAAAAAAACAACTCATACTCTATTTGCTAAATAAGACTAAATTATCACCACACTCATAGATACGACTTTTTCTGGGCCATAAACCCAGCATGCCACATACCTAACCTTCTAAATAATTATCTGGCCTCCCTTACAGGCCATTCTAATCAAGTCTCACCTCACAGAAGGCTCCAGTTGCAGAAATAAATCTTTAATGCCAGAAATAGGTCCTCACAGAAAAAAATCCAGGAATAATATTCAAGTATTTTCATATGGTAGCACAGTTCTTTTAACATTTGAGGAAACAATCTGTGCTCAGACACAATGACCTTCGGAGATCTACTTAAAATGGCTATAAGCCTTACATTACTACTAACAGATAAGAGGATAATGAAGGAGGAGACACAGGTTCACTAGGAGGTTTATGGTCTAAGAATCTCTGAAATGCTTTTTCTCCCTAATGACAGAAGGCTTTAACATTGTAAACTGTGGTAATGAAGCATAACATATTTATTTTTATTAAGATAAATGATAAAGCAGGGTAATACAAATTTCTTAAGTTAGATATGAAAAAGAAAATATTCATGCCAGGCGCCAGTGGCTCACGCCTGTAATCCTAGGTACTCAGGAGGCTGAGATCTGAGGATCATGGTTCAAAGCCAGCCAGAGCAGGAAAGACCGTGAGACTCTTATCTCCAATAAACATCTCAGAAAACCAGAAGTGGCACTGTGGCTCAAGTGGTAGAGCGCTCGCCTTGAGCTGAAGAGCTGAGGGACAGCGCCCAGGCCCAGAGTTCAAGCCCCATGACCAATAAAATAAAAAAGAAAGAAAGAAAATATTCATGAGTTATAGTGCCCTAAAAGTCATCAAAAATAAAACATAACTACTCCAGAATTTATATTTTACCACTCAAGAAATCACTGAGTTTAAAGACCTTCATTCTTAAAATATATTTTGTAAAAACTCCAAAATCTCCTTTTTAGTATACTTGAAAAGGTATTTAGTAGAAGTGTCAGAGGCACACATATTTTCTTCCAAATGTATCTGAATTCATAGACGAATATGATTACTATTAAGCTAAATAATTCATAGAATGGCAATTTCATTATTGGCAAACAGTTAATCATTCAACTACCGTGTTTAGATCAAATAAAATTCAATGTTAAAGAGAAACAGGGAAAAACTCATTTCTAAGTCCCCCAAGGAGGAAAAAGGGAATCTTCAAGGAAGTCTAAGTCACTGTGAAGTTGACAGTTCACTATAATCACATATACCATATCTTCACCATTTTTACTTGCAACTAAAAGCTACTCATAAAAGATTAAAGAAAAAAGATTAAAGAATAAAGTCACTATGATTAAACAGTCTCTGAATCCCTAAAGTTATAAGTATACATTTTGTGGTTTAAACATCCCAATTTTTCCACCGTTTAGCCATTTGATCTTGACAAAGTTTCTTTAACTTCTTTCAGCTTTGGTTTCCTCATTTGTATAAAAAGGATAGCAAGGAAGTGGCGCTGTAGCTCAAGTGGTAGAGCATTTGCCTTAAGCTGAAGAGCTGAGGGACAGCGCCCAAACTCAGAGTTCAAAACCCATGACTGACAAAAAAAAGCACTCAGATTAGATAAGATACCTACTCAGATTAGATAAAATACCTAGTAAAGTACCAGCTACAGTAAGTACTTAATCTCTATGTAAGAAACTAAAACCTTCCACAATGCATGGTGGATTTTTTTTGGGGGGGGGCAGTTAAAAGTAAAAAAGCTATTGTCAAAAATAAATCAGAGTGGCCAGATGCCCAAGGCTCACACTTGTAATCCTAGCTACTCAAAAGGCTGAGATCTGAGGATTGTGGCTTGAAGCCAGCCTGGGCAGGAGAGTCTGTGAGACTCTTACCACCAATTAATCATAGGGGGCTGGGGAAACAAAATGGGAGGCGGAGAAAAAAACAGAAGTGGCTCTGTGGCTCAAGTAGTAGAGTGCCAGCCTTGAACAAAATGACTCAGGGACAGCACCCAGGCCCAGAGGTCAAGCCCCCAATAGGCAAAAAAATAAAAATAAAGAATTATAGTAAAAACTGGTTTCCAGGTCCCACTGTATACTCTTCTTAGTGGACTTTACCTTCTCTTTATTAACTAACATAAGCATAAAAAGAAAAAGAAAGGGCTGAGAATGTGGCTTACTGGTAGAGTGCTTGCCTAGCATGGATGAAGCCCTGGGTTCAATTCCTCAGTACCACATAAACAGAAAAGGCCGGAAGTGGCACTGTGGCTCAAGTGGTAAAGTGCTAGCCTTGAGCAAAAAGAAGCTCAGAGACAGTGCCTAGGCCCTGAGTTTAAGCCCCAGGACTGGCAAAAGAAAAAGAAAAAAGAAAGCAAAGAAAATTAGTTATTTTAACTTGGTATAAAATGTACTATGAAGGAATAGACACAGAGTTTTCTGGAAACACACACATGAAAAGCCCTGGAAGTCTTGTTATTCAAAGATGTACATGAAGGGCTGGGAAGGTGGCTCAGTGGTAGAGCACTTGCCTTGCATGCTCGAGGCCCTGGGTTCGATTCCTCAGCACCACATAAGCAAAAAAGCCAGAAGTGGCGCTATGGCTCTGAAGAGCTGAGGGACAGCGCCCAGGCCCAGAGATCAGGCCCCACGACTGGACTCAAAAAAAAAAAAAGATGTACATGAAGAATACCTAAAGAGGATTGACTAGATAAGGAATGTAAACCACAGGAAAGAACAATAATGGTTTAGTATTGCATAGTGGATTTAACAGTGACTCCCAAAAACTCATGATTACCTGGATCCTTAGAATGAGACCTTACTTAGAAATTGGATATTTGTAGATATAATGAGTTTAGAAACTGGAAGTCAAGTCCTGGATTTAGGCTGGGCCCTAAATTCAATGACTGCTATCTTCATAAGAAGGAAGGGCACACAAATATACACAGAGGATATACAAAGACAGAAGAAGAAAATGGAATTATACTGCCACAAGCTGAGGAATGCTTGAGGTCACAAAAACTGGAAGAGGTATGGATGGATTCTTCTTTTGGAAGAACAAACAAAGTCTAGTTAATATCTTATTTCAGCTGTTGAAACCATGAGAAAGAGAGAGAGTACATTTCTCTTAATTTTAGCTTATGAATTTGGGTAGATTGTTGAAACATCACTGGAAACAAATACAGCTCAAAGAATATTTGCAGAAGCCGGGCACAGTGGCTCATGCCTATAATCCTAGCTATTCAGGAAATTGAGATCTGAGGATCACAGTTCAAAGCCAGCCCAGGCAGAAAAGTCTTGGTGAAACTCTTTTCTCCAAGAAACTACTCAAAAGAGCTGGAAGTAGGGCTGTGGCTCAAGTGGTAGAATGCTAGCCCCACAACTGGAAAAAAAAAAAAAAAAAGACCATTTGCAGAGAGCTATTTTCCATGTTCAGCATTTCATTTGATTATGCCATGGAAGAAAAAAAGCATTGATCAAAAATTTTGTCTTGTTTTTTTTTAAAAAATGTCTTTGTATTATCCTGATTTTATCAGATTATTGCTAATTATATTAAAAGGTAAACAGAAAATAATGAAATTCCATTACTTACAATGTGTGACACCAGCCAGAGTTTGGTAGAAAGTAGGAGTATCACTATCATCAGTTAGGGTAACATACACACCTCCAGACAGTAGCCAACGAGAGAAGGTAAAAGCATCTTTGTTTATAAGAAGCCAATTTCTAAATTTTTCATAGTTTACCTTTTCACCCTAAAATAAAAATTTAAAAAATCAGTCAAACTTTAGGGTATTTAGAACTTGTACAAATTAAAATTTGCAATTAGTAGGCATTTATCTTTCTAATATCCAAAAAGGAAGGATAATCTAAATAACACGTATTTAGAAATAAAACTTTTCAAATCTAATTATATTTCAGAACTCTGCATAAAATCTATGTGCTACATATAAACTATTTTATCAACTGATTAAAGCAGTCTGAGGCTAATAATTAGCTATAGTTTATTTGCTAAGATATATTCTATAATCAATAAGTTCTATTTTGACAAATTCAATAAATCTAATTTTTCATTTACCCTATCCTTCTTCTTTAGTACTTCATAATCTATCTACATTATTATATTTTCATCAAATCTATTAGGAATTAAAACCACAATGTTAAAAATAACTATTCAAAAGCCTTCCTAGAGATGGTAGGGGGAAAACAATGGAGGGGGTAACAATGCTCAATAAGAAGTGTACTCATTACCTTAGTCATGTAACTGTAACCACTGTATAGTATCTTTACAATAAAAAAGAAAGAAAGAAAAAACCTTCCTAGAGAAATGGGCGCTGTGGCTCAAGTGATAGAGCTCTAGCCTTGAGCACAAAGAGACTCAGGGACAGTGCACAGACCCTGAGTTCAAGCCTCAGGACCAGCAAAACAAAACAACCTTCCTATAGTATCCCAGAAAGCACATAAACGAATGAAACAGTACAAAAAGAAAGTGATAAATCTTTAAAGAACAGAAGACAAACTGGGTGGCAGTGGCTCATGCCTATAATCCTAGCTACACAGGAGGCTGAGATCTGAGGATCAATGTTAAAAGCCAAGCCCCGGCAGGAAAGTCCTTGAGACTCTTATTTCCCATAAACTACTAGAAAACCAGAAGTGGCACTGTGGTTCAAGTGGTAGAGCACTCATCTTGAGCTGAAGAGTTAAGGGGCTGTGCCCAGGCCCAAAGTTCAAGCCCCACAACTGACAAAAAAATAAAATAATATAAAATAAAAAGAACAGCAGATAGAAATATGACAAAAATTTCTTTGCCCGAGGTTAGCGTTCTACCACTTGAACCATCATTCTACAGCCAGCTTTTTTGGCAGTTAACTGGAAATAAGAGTCTTTCAGACTTTCTTGCCCAAGCTGGCTTAGAATTGTGATCTTCAGATCTCAGTCTCCTCAGTAGCTAGGATTACAGGCATGAGCTTCTGGCACCAATCTAGAAATTCACATTTTAAAAATCAATAACTATAAAAAAAAACACCTCAGTAAGAAAAAAGTGTAATATATATGTCTTATACCAATTATTTAAACAAATTCCATCTGTTAAGACTAGTAATAAGGCTGGGAAGGTGGCTCAGTGGTAGAGCACTTGCCTTGCATGCTCGAGGCCCTGGGTTCGATTCCTCAGCACCACATAAGAAAAAAGCCGGAAGTAGCGCTGTGGCTCAAGTGGTAGAGTGGTAGCCTTGAGCTGAAGAGCCTGAGAGACAGCGCCCAGGCCCAGAGTTCAGGCCCCATGACCGGACAGAAAGAAAGAAAGAGGGCTGGGAAGGTGGCTCAGTGGTAGAGCGCTTGCCTTGCATGCCTGAGGCCCTGGGTTCGATTCCTCAGCACCACATAAGCAAAAAGAAAAAAGCCGGAGGTGGCACTGTGGCTCAAGTGGTAGAGGGCTAGCCTTGAGCTGAAGAGCTGAGGGACAGCGCCTGGGCCCAGAGTTCAGGCCCCACGACCCGGCCAAAAAAAAAAAAAAAAGAAAGAAAGAAAGACAGAAAGAAAGGAGGGAGGGAGGGAGGGAGGGAGGGAGGAAGGAAGGAAGAAAGGAAGGAAGGAAGGAAAGAAAGAGACTAGTAATAAAAAAAAATAGAAAAAGCTGACTCATGACACAAGTCTTTGTTCTAGGTATCTACCTTTTGACTAAAGTGCTTTTTTTTTTTTCTTGGTCAGTTGTGGGACATGAACTCGCGCCTGGGCACTGTCCCTGAGCTCTTTTGCTCAAAGCTCCCACTCTACCACTTTGAACCATAGTTCCACTTCTGGTTTTCTGGTGGTTAAATGAAGATAAAGAGTCTCACAGACTTTCCTACCCAGGCTGGCTTTGAACTATGATCCTCAGATATCAGCCATGTGAGCTGCTAAGATTATAGGCATGAGCTACCAGAGCCCAGCTATAGTTTTTTGTTTTTTTTTTAATGAAAAATAGGGGCTGGGAATGTCGCTTAGTGGTAGAGTACTTGCATAGCATGCATGAAATCCTAGGTTATATTCTTCAGTATCTCATAAACATAGTAAGCCGGATGCTCTGTGGCTCAGGTGGTAGAGTACTAGCCTTGAGCAAAAAAAGCAGCTCAGGGACAGTGCTCAGGCCCTGAGTTCGAGGCCCAGAACTAGCCAAAAAATTGTTTTTAAATAACAGAATGCATTGTTGTGAAAGACATGAATAAAATTATTTTAGGGCAAGTGAATGATTATAAAGATTTAGATATCGAGGGTCTAGATGTAATTATCAGACACAATACTCAAAAATTAGAGATAGTAAACATAATTTTTTTTTTTTTTGCCAGTCCTGAGGCTTGAATTCAGGGACTGGCACTGTTCCTGAGCTTCTTTTGCTAGCACTCTTCCACTTGAACTAGTGCCACTCCTGGCCTTTTCTGATTATATGGTACTGAGGAATTGAATCCAGGGCTTCATGCATGTGAGGCAAACACTCTACCACTAAGCCACGTTCCTAGCTTTATTTTTTAAATTTGTCCATTCATTTCATTGGATTCTTTTTCTCTTAGTGGTACTAGTAATTAAATCAAGAGCCTAGAAATCTAGAGCTAAAAGTGCTCTGACCAGTGAGCTACACACCAAGTCTTCACAATACTGTTTGGCTTTTTTCTAATCCAAACACAGATACATAATAATTCAAATAACCATTTACAGGCACCTCCCAATCCCTGGCCTCACAATTCTTTAGTCTACTCTTTCAAAGTCTTTGTTCCTAAAACTAAGACTAGACAAAAAATAAATCCCAGTATTGAACCAAAATTTGACCTTCAGAGAAATCATGGGAAAGAAATAACCAAATATCCTAAAGTGGTCAGTTTGAATTGGTAATGAAACTTTTTCTGCTTTAATCCTTACAAAAAGATAACCTGAAAGGACCTGACCAATGAGTTATTTTTCTACTCTTCTGTCACTAAGCCTTGGTCTTACAAGGAAAGTAACTTTGGAATAACTAACCAATTCTTTATACTTTGTTTCTATTTCTTAAAAAAAATTCACTTTGGGTCTGGGAAGGTGGCTCAGTGGTAGAGTGCTTGCCTTGCATGCATGAGGCCCTGCGTTCGATTCCTCGGCACCACATATGCAGAAAAGGCCACAAGTGGCGCTGTGGCTCAAGTGGTAGAGCGCTAGCCTTGAGCTGAAGAGCTGAGGGACAGCGCCCAGGCCCAGAGTTCAGGCCCCACAACCGGCAAAAAAAAAGAAAAAAAAAATTCACTTTGCCTAACTTTACCAGCATACCTATCACATAGCAGAATTAGGATACTCTGATTATCTTTAAAAAATTCTGTCATGAAACAGACTAATTGGTTTGCTCATACCACATTTAGTGACTGTCTCTCAAACAAACAAACAGTTAAAACTTAGTCAATATAAAGCGGATGAAATGTGAATCTTTAAATATACCTCTGAGAAACACTTTTTGAGTGTATCTGGGACTTTACCATCCACCACATGAAGCATTCTTTCCATTTCTTCCCGTACAACATAGCTCCCGGATTCACTTGAAAAAAGACTAAAAATGTCTACAAGAAAGAAAAATTAAATAAATTACTCTTAACATGGATCAAATATGCCCTAGTGAAGCAGGGAAACAGAAAGAGTACTAATAACTACGTAATTTTAAGAGCAAAATAGTTTATAAACATATCTTCATCTTTAAAATAACCCAACAACACAAATTTTAAAAACAATGTGGGTTTTTTTCCAATCAAATTTGTAAAAAAAATTTTTTACATGTGATATTACATGTGTTATCAAAGACTAAGAGCAGCAGAATCTCATAAACAATGGTAACTAAAGTATAAATAAATGACAGCACTCTGGAGAATCATTTGGCAAAATCTAGAAAAGATAAAGCTGGATGCCAGAAACTACTTCCAGACAATTCCACTTCCAATCTGGGAAAATCTCTGACTCCTGTACACACAGTACCATATGTTCACTTAAATACTATTTATGAGACAAAAACTGCAGGGGCATGGCTGCAACCCCAGAACTTGGGAAGTTGAGGCAGTAAGAACTCCAGCCTAAGCTACAGACTTTATCTCCAAAAAAAGTTTAAAACTGTCATAGCAATGAAAGTAAGTTGAAAGATACACAAACATATTATAAATTCAGAAGAACATTCAAAAGGAATGGAAGACCTCCAAATTGAAGATGGTAAAAATAAGAGAAGGGCAGAACTGGCACTATGAAGGGATACCAAAAGAGCTTCACATTGGTCACAGTATTTTCTTTTTAAAATATCCAGATCTTGTATTGCAAAGAAAAAAATTAGTAATAGTGGCACAAAGAACATACATGAACCTCCTTTTACATTAGTTATTTGAAATAAATATCTTAGTGTGTAATAAAAAATTTGAGGAAATAGCATTGTAGCTCAAGTGGTAGAACATTACCCTTGAGCAAAAAAGCTTAAGGACAGAGCCCGGGTCCTGAGTTCAAGACCCACAGCCAGTAACAACAATAACAACAGAAAGTTTTAAAATTTCAGACCCAAGAGGCTGGGAAGTGGCTTAGTGGTGGAATGCTTGCTTACAATTCATGAAGCACTGGATTTGATTCCTCATTACCACATAAATAGAAAAAGCCAGAAGTGGCACTGTGGCTAAAGTGGCAGAGTACTAGCCTTGAGCAAAGAAAAGCTCAGGGATAGTGCCCAGGCCCTGAATTCAAGCCCCAGAACCAGGGGGGAGGGGGGGGGGGGGGGGGGGGGGGGGGGGGAGGGGGAGAGGGAGGAGGGACTCAGAGCTGAGACAAAGATGACACAATATTAAGAAATAATGCCCAGATGCCAGTGACTCATAGTAGCTACTTAGGAGGCTGAGATCTGAGGCTCAAGGTTCAAAAAGGAAACCCCTCAAGACTCTTATCTCCAATTAACTACCAAAACACAGCTGGAAGTAAAGCTATGGCTCAAGTGATAACCTTAAGCAAAAAAGTTCAGGGACGGGGCCCAGGCCCTGTGTTCAAGCTCCAGGATTGGCGGAATAAAGGAAAGAAGGAAAAGGAAGGAGAAGAGGAAGGAAAAGGAAAGTAAATGAGAGGAGAGGGGAGGGGAGGGGACGAAAGAAAAAAACAGAAGAAAAATAATAAGCTGTGTGGAAGTACATAATGTATGTGCAATTGAAATCTTGTTATTGTTAAACTGGGTACTAGTGGCTCATGCCTGTGATACTAGTTATTCAGAAGGCTGAGATCTGAAGATTGTGATTTGAAGCCATCTGGGGCAGACCAATGTATGAGACTCTTCAATTAACTAGCAAAAGCCAGGCTGGCTGGTTGTGTGGTTCAATTGGTAGAGTGACAACCATGTTAATAAGCAAGCAGAGCAAGCTTGAGGCCTTGAGTTGGAGCCCCAATACTAGAACACACACACACACACACACACACACACACACAAGTGGGGGTGGAGCTTGTTGACAGTTTAAATATGTATAGGAGTAGGGATACTTATGTTCGCCATCTTAATTATGGTAAATAGTGTAGGTGTCAAAATAAAATTAAGCCCAGGCAAGGTGGCTGGTACATGCCCGAAATTTGAGTACTCCAGAGGCAGAGGGATCAAGGCCAGCCTAGGCTACATAACAAGACCCTATCTCAGGGAAACCAAAACAAAATAATAATAACAAATGTACATTTTATATAAGTATATTTTATTACATGTCAATTATTCCTCAATAAGACTTTTTAAAAACAAAATTAAGGAAAACTGTCTAGAATTAGGGATGAAGGAGAAAATTCTACATGATTTAGAACAAGCAATCCAAAGGCATGTCAATCTAGGTTTTCATAACAAAATATCACAAACTAGATGGCTTATAAACAGCACAAAGTTCTCCCTCATAATTGTAGAGGGTGGGATAATCAAGAACCAGCAAAGTTCAAGTCTGGTGAGGAACAACTTCCTGATTTATAGAATCATCTATCCTTGCAGAGCAGAGTCTGAAAAAAGTCTAAGGTTTTTTCTTTATAAGGACACTTAATCTCATTCAAGAGGCACTTATGATTAGCCCCCAGTGACCTAATCACTTCTCAAAGGCTTAATACCTTAATCATTACTGTGGATTTTGGATTTCAACACTGAATTTGGGGAAGACACAAACATTCAGACCATAGCAGGCAAGTTAGAAAAGGAAGTAGCAAAGAGTATAATTCATCATCCAGTGGCCAACAATAAAATCTAAGAAATTTTGGAGCAAGATATTATGTTTTGTGTAATATAAACAGTTTCCTAGACTTCCTCAGAGAATTCTTCAGTGAAATTTGTCATATTTTTAGTACTTTAAGTAGGAACAGATGTGTCTTTGGAGTACTCAAAGAAAAGAATGAGAGCACAGAAGTTATAATTAAATGGAGTTAATTTTTAAAATAAATCCATACCCTAATAAATGCAGATAAAATTATCTTCCCTCAAATATTTAGGGAATCATTGATAACATTTCTCTGTTTAGTAGGATTTAAAGATAACAGATAAAGCCAGTACTCACACCTGTAACTTCAGCACATGAGAGGCTGAAGGTGAAAAATCTCCAGATTCAGGCTGGACTGGACTACATACTAAAATCCGGTCTCAAAAATGAGTAGGGAGTTCAGCGACAGTGGCTCAAGCCAGTAATCCTAGATATACAGGAAGCTGAGATCTGAAGATCACAGTTTGAAGCCAGCCTGAGCAAGAAAGTCCGTGAGACTCATCTCCAATTAACCACCAAAAATCCCAAAGTGGAGCTATGGCTCAAATGACAAATGCCAGTCTTCAGCAAATAAACTCAGGGACAGTGCCCCAACAACAAACTAAACTAAAATAAAATAAATATGGAATGGAATGATGCAATTTAAATGAACACGAAGTCTCAACTTTTTCTGAGTATAGATAATTCACCTAACAAAATTAATTTCTGAAGTTAAAAGTAAAACCATTAAAAATAACAACCTTGCCGGGCGCTGGTGGCTCACGCCTATAATCCTAGCCATGCAGGAGGCTGAGAGAGGAGGATCGCGGTTCAAAGCCAGCCCAGGCAGGAAAGTCTGTGAGACTCTTATCTCCAATAAACCACTAGAAAACCGGAAGTGGCACTGTGGCTCAAGAGGTAGAGTGCTCGCCTTGAGCTGAAGAGCTCAAGAGCACAGGGACAGCGCCCAAGCCCAGAGTTCAAGCCCCACAACTGACCAACCCCGCCCCCCCAAAAATAATAACCTTTTGCTCTACGAACATTAAGTGAACTTTGGGGTTTTTTTTGTGACATATGGAAAGAATAGACTATATATAGAGTATGTATGCCATCAGACCTTAAAAGAATAAAAGCTTTGCTGAAATATAATTTGTATTCCAAAAAATTAATATTTTAAAAGTGTGCAACTTAGCTGAGCACCAGTGGCTCACACCAGTAATCCTACTCAGGAGACTGAGATCTGAGAATCATGGTTCAAAGCCAGTCCAGGCAGGAAAGTCTAAACACCAAAAGGCCAGAAATGGAGCTGTACCACACATGATAGAGCATACCTAGCCTTGAGCAAAAAGTTTAGGGACAGCACCCAGACCCTGAATTCAAACCTGAGGACCAGCACACACAGACAGACACATAGGTAGGTGCATGCATGCGTGTGGACACACACACACACACTAAGTGTACAACTTAGTGATATTTAGTGTTCTTAAGAGTATGTAATAACCATTATCAGTTCTTGCACATTTCCATCAATCCAGAAACAAATCTTTATATTTACATTAGCAGTCACTAATGTCATTAATGGAGTTTTTCTGTCCCCAAGTCTCTGGCAGTCACTAATCTGTTATATTATGGCATTAACTGTCTAATCCAAAATTTTCATATAATTTGGATAGACCTACTGTGACTAGTAGCAATTGCCCAGCAAATGTTTTGAAGGTGGTAGCATGTGGTATCACCATGTGGTACTACCATGTGGCAGTATGAATCAGCACTTTATTCCCTTTTTTTGTAGAGCAATAGTCCATTGTATATTTTATTTATTGGACTGGGAAGGTAGCTTAGTGGTAGAGTACTTGTCAAGCATGAATGAAGCCCTGGGTTCGATTCCTTAGTATCACATAATCAGAAAAGGCCAGAAGTGGTACTGTAGCTCTAGTGGTAGAACACTAGTCTTGAGCAGAGAGAGGCTCAGAGACAGAGCCTAGGACCTAAGTTCAAAACCCAAGACTGGCAAAAAAATAAAATAAAATAAAAATTTTATTTATCCATGAATCATCCATTATGGAATGAGGGATATTTCTATTTCTATTCTGCCATTTAAAAAAATTCTCTATGTGGGCTGGGAAGGTGGCTCAGTGGGAGAGCGCTTGCCTTGCAATGCATGAGGCCCTGGGTTCGATTCCCCAGCACCACATAAGCAAAAAGAAAAAAGCCGGAAGTGGCGCTGTGGCTCAAGTGGTAGACACTAGCCTTGAGCTGAAGAGCTGAGGGACAGCACCCAGGCCCAGATTCAGGCCCCACAACCAGACCCAAAAAAAAAAAATTCTCTATGTATAACTTTATCTTGGGTATATACTTAAGAGTGAAATTATTTTTTAATATGATAACTACATATTTAACAGTTTGAGTAAATGCCAAATTGCTGAAGTGTGAAATAATAGCTGCATTGTTTTACATACTCATCAGCAATATATGAGGGCTGTCATTTACTTTTTACGTTTTATTTTTTTGTCTGTCAGTTGCTGGGTGCTGTGCCTGAGCCTCTTTGTGCTCAAAGCTAGCACTTTACCACTTGAGCCACAGTGCCACTTCTGGGTTTTGAGTGGTTAATTGAAGATAAGAGTTTCACAGGGACTTTTTTGCGTGAGCCGGCTTCAAACCACAATCCTCAGATCTCAACCTCCTGAATAGCTAGGATTACAGGTATGAGCCACTGGCACCCAGCAAGGGCTGTCATTTTTGTTTGTTTGTTTGTTTTTGGGTCCCGTCATGGGGCCTGAACTCTGGGCCTGGGCGCTGTCCCTCAGCTCTTAAGCTCAAGGCTAGCACTCTACCACTTGAGCCACAGCGCCACTTCTGGTTTTTTTTTCTTTTTGCTTATGTGGTGCTAAGGAATTGAACCCAGGGCCTCATGCATGCAAGGCTAGCGCTCTACCACTGAGCCACCTTCCCAGCCCCAAGGGCTGTCATTTTTATACATGCTTTGTCAACACTTGTTATTAACTTTTTAATTTAGTAGTTATGATATAGCAAGCCATAATAATTTCAGTTTACATTTCTCCATAATGTGTTTCTCAAAACTAAGTTTTCCTAGAGCAAAATAGTAATATGTGGTCTAATATGACTCATATCAATCATTCAACAAATGTTTCTAAAGAGAATCCATGTGGGATCAGCTTATTCAAGCATGTTGATCTTTTTTTTTTTTTTTAAGTATTCGCTAGCCACTTGAATGTCTTCTTTTCTTCTTTTTTTTTCCCCCTTGGTGGTACTGTGGTTTGAACTCAGGGCCTGTACATTCTTGGAAGGCACTCTACTACTTAAGCCATACTTCCAACCCTTTTTTATTTTCCTTGTTTTTTAAGAGGTAGTTTCTACCTATACCACCCACATAAATAGGAATTACAGATCTGCTCCACCATGCCCAGTTTGATTGTTGAGATTGGGACTTTAGGCTAACTTTTTAACCTAGGCTTCCCTCAAACCTTAATTTTCCCAAATATCACCTGTGAAGTGGCTTGGATTACAGGCAGATGCCACCATACCCAGGCCTTTCTATCAAATATTTTCTTTGGAAAAATACTAATTCAAATATTTTGTCTATCAACAGATTTTTGAAACCAAATTATTTTGTAAACAAATAATACCACTGTCATCTTGAGATAATAAAAATACTTACATTTTGCTTTTTCTTCATCTCTGCCTCTTGTAAGGAGGACTAGTCCAACTATTAAGTTATTGAAATGTAGCCCTTTGGGTGTTCCACCAAAAGAACAATAAATCACCTAGAAAAAAATGATGAAACCAACTTTAGAAAATGCTGAGAAATCTGAAGTACATATTACCGTTAACAAATCTTATTTCTATCTCCAGACACAGCTCTGGTAAGTTTTATGAAATAATGTTTAAGTTTCTCCCTCTTATGGCTCTTTTGCATCTTGCTGGTACACTCAGCCATGAATAGAATATTCATCAGTTTTAACATTCATATATTACAGGTTGACACATCTGAGTGGTTATTTATTTATTTTTTGCCAGTCCTGGGGCTTGAACTAAGGGCCTGGGCGCTGTCCCTGAGCTTCTTTTGCTCCAGGCTAGCACTCTACCACTTGAGCCACAGCACCACTTCTGGCTTTTTCTGTTTATGTGATACTAAGAAATCAAACCCAGGGCTTCATGCATGCTAGGCAAGCAATCTACCACTAAGCCACCTTCCCAGCCCTGTTTAGTCCTTCTCTTTAGAGTACTTACCAAAGTCCAAAAGTATAAAGGTCTTTACTCAATAGCTATTATAATGTGATAAGAATTCTATGCAATTATGGAACTGAATCTCAGTAAAAACTTACATATCTTATTTTGGCTGTAAAGAAATTCTCTAATTGAATGTTCAGAGATATAAAGAAGCCAAAAGACATTTCTTTTATACTCTCAGGGTATTAAAATAACTAGAAAAACAATAACTGCACATAACATCACTATACATAAAAACAATATCAGCAATCATTATAATTTCATTTACTCATTCAACAATTCTTTGTTGAATTCTTTGAGTTGAAAATATCTTCTATGCAGTTTTTATTTGTTTGTTTGTGACAGGGTGTAGCTTTATAGTCAAGACTGGACTCTAATTGGTGATCTTTCTGTCCCTTCTTCTCAAATACCAGAATGACAGGTGTACTTTCCATGATACTCAACTTATAAATATAGGATGATCAAGAATTCAAAGTCGGGCACCAGTGGCTCATGCTTTTAATCCTAGCTATTCAGAAGGCTGAGATCTGAGGATCACGGTTCAAAGCCAGCCTGGGCAGGAAAGTCCATGAGACTCTTATCTCCAATAAACCACTAGAAAACTGGAAGTGGCGCTGTGGCTCAAGTGGTA